ACGGAAGAATTGTACACAGTATTCTAAAAGTGGCCTCGCCAAAGTCCTGTACAACCGCACTATGACATCCCAACTCTTTTACTCAATGTTCTGACCAATGAAGGCAAGTGTGCTGAATTAACTCCACCGAGGCTGGTATCCTGTCACCAAGTCACATTTTATTTACACACATAGAGAGTCCTTGGCACTGATCCAGCTTCCTCAGAGCCAGCTCTCAGAATGAATGGGATGCCTGATACTCCTGTTTATATCTGTCAGCCAGGGCTCCCTGATTGGACCAGATTAACAGCCCCACTCAGAGCTCCACCTGCTGAACTTGTTACAACCATTACATCCTTCCCCCTCTGAGTCCGAAGAAATAGGCCAGTTCTTTCTTGATTGTAGCTCCTCCTGGGGCGTTTTGGTGCTGGGTCAGGTTCTTCCAACCCTGCCTCTGATAGGGCCAGCATGTAACACACAGTAGCTCGCCTTTTGTGCCCAGACCATCTTGGAAGAAATTCATTCTCTTCTTCAGGTGACAAAGGCATCAAGGCTGTGACATTCACAATGTCCATCTCAGATTCTGAGGCATCTTCAACACTCGATGGACAGGGAGATCCCACAGGTTCTAGAACAGTGAGATAGGCTGTCGAGGAGCTGGGCACATTTTGATCCCATGCCATCTGCAATTTTGCAGCTCTCATATGGTCCACGAGCTTGTTCAGGTCCATCGTACCTACCTGAACTTTATACATCTCTGGACCTGACCTCATGTCAACCATGCTTCTTACCCAGGCAGAGCCATTCCCACGGTTCCTCCATCAAACTTCATCCTCTGAAGTAAACTGTCTCTCTCACTTAGCAGAGTCTTGTGTCCAGCACTGGAGTTCCTGATGCTGTTTCATCCTCCTCCCACCCCATGTCTGGCATTTATTTTAATTGGTTCTGATGTGGATGTTGCTAAGCAGTTTAATTGTTCCAAACCAGATGCAGGTAGACTTTCCAGGATGTGCACTTTCTTGGATACCGGCCTATGAGATCTCCTACTCAATTTAGGTCCGGTGTGACTCTTTTACTGTTTCAAGTCCCACAAATACAATAGCTTGCTGGTTCAGATCCTTAAGAAAATTTTAACCATTTGCCTGCGGCTTAACTTTGTTTCGGAGTTTTGCAGTGTGCTGACCAAGAGCCCCTCTGTTTAGGTGATGTCCTGAGTAAGGCTATGCAACTGCCTTCACTCAAGTGGTGTTCCCCAAGCTCAGACAGCCTGGCGAGGATGTCCACTTCCATCGAAATACCCTGCAACTCATAAGGTCCACTTGCTGCATTTTCCAATGATAAAGCCAGTTGTAGTGTCTTTTTGAAATCCAGTTGGGCTTTGCATGGTTACATCATTAATCTCACATACCAAACGGCCTCTCAGCATCTCATTAAGGGTTAAACTACAGTCAAATGCCTCTGCCAGTTGTCTTAACCTAGTCAAAAATCCCAATGCAACTCTTCACCTGGTTCTTGAATTGCTGAGTAAAACCGATGGCATCTCAGAATTAGAGGAAGCTTGGGGTTGTAATATTCCTTAACTAGATCCATCAACTTTTGAAATGTTTTAGTATCTGGTGTCTCAGGGAAAGTTAGGCCCCTAATAACTGAAAAAGCTACAGGTCCACAAGCTGTCAGGAAAATTACTCATTGTTTTTCATCTGCCCCAGTGTTACTCACCTGGAAAAAATATCACATTCTTTCCACATACTGGGCCCAGTCTTCAATAGCAGAATTAAGTGAGTCAATCTTCCCAAATAATGGCATCATGCCAGAAATACTTACCCCAACTCAAAGTCAACTGCTGTGAGAGAATTTCTTCAGGAGCATGCTATTCTCTCGTTACCACTGAAATAACTCCAAACAGGCCAGTATCCTGTCACCTGTCACCTGTCACCTGTCACCTGTCACCCGTCACCTGTCACCCGTCACCCGTCACCTGTCACCTGTCACCTGTCACCTGTCACCCCTTTATTTACATGTGGAGAGTCCCTAACACTGATCCAGCTCCCTCAGAGTGAGCAGAACCTCTGACACTCCTGTTTATATTTGTCAGCCAGGGCTCCCTGATTGGACCAGATTAACAGCCCCAATCATATTCCAGGTGGAACTCATATTCTGTGAGGTCCACCCGGCTGATCTCATTATAATCACTACATGTGCCAAACGCCTTCTTCCAAACAACCACTTAACTATTCTAGTCCCATTTTCCAGTACTTGGCCCATAGCCTTGTATTCTTTGGCATCGCAAGTGCACGTTCAAATACTTCCTTAAATTTTATGAGGGTTTCTGCCCCTACCACCCTTACAAGCAGTGAGTTCCAGATTCCCAACACCCTCTGGGTGAAAAACAATTCTCCTCACATCCCATCTAAACTTCTGCCCCTTCCATTAAACAGACCAGCCTCAGAAGAAGGATTGGTGACAGTATTCTAAGCTACCAGGAGGGCCCAGAATATAACACAGTGGCAGTGCTAGGCATCACATCATATTACAACAGACAGATTTTTGATAGCTAAGGGAGTCAAGGGGTGCAGACAAGAAAGTGGAGCTGGTATCAGCCATGATCCTACTGAATGGCAGAGCAGTCTTAACTGGCTGGATGGCTACATCAGCTTCCTAAGCCCCGTATTCCTATCAAAGTGAGAGGTTTAGGCAGCAGTGTTTTTTTTTTAAAGAAAACACAATTTCTTTTTAAAGCAGTGAGTTATGATCTGGAATGCACTGCTGAAAGGACAATGAGTACAGACTCAAGAATGGCTTTCAAAGAGGAATTAAATGAATATTTGAAATAGATACAGGGTTCCTCAGCAAGAATTCGGGCTAATTGGTTGGCTTATTCAAAAGCTAGAATATCGAACCATGACCTCTTGGTAAGATTCTTATTATTTAACCAGGAAGCCAAGAGAACAAATACTTTCATTAATGACAATGCCAGTTAAGGAGCTTTCTGAAATGTAACAATTCTTTTTAATAAATGCCCTACATAGAAGGGAAAGGCTCATTTGTAATGTATGTTATGTAGATCTGGTGAAAATATCTAACGGTAATTTTAAAAAAAGCTGTCATTCATTCAGATGTATCTATTTGAGAGTGAACCTTTGATGATCTTTCACCTTACAAATGAAACCCTTTGCTTCAGTTCTCATTGTCGGTCAATTGTGCACTTTTACTCAAATGCATCATCTAGGCTGACACCCTCAGCTTTGTACATTTTTTATTTGTTTGTGGGATGTGGGCAGCACTAACTAGACCAGCATTTATTGACCAACAACAGATAAGAGTCAACTACATTGCTGTTGATCTGCAGTCACTTGTAGGACAGAAGATTTAGAATGCAGAACAGAACCGCTACAGTGCGGAATGAGGCCATTTGGCCCATCAGGTCTGCACCGACCCTTTGATCAGCATTCCACTCACATCCAGGCCCTATCTCCACAACTCTGCATTTGCCATGGCCAATCCACCTACCTTGCACATCTTTGGACTGTGGGAGGAAACCGGAGCACCCGGAGGAAGCCCACGCAGACACGGGGAGAACATGCAAACTTCACACAGACAGTTATAAAATCATAGAGTTGTACAGCATGGAATCAGACCCTCCGGCCCAACATGTCCATGCCAACCAGATATCCTACGTTAATCTAGTCCCATTTGCCAGCATTTGGCCCATATCCATCTAAACCTTTCCTATTCATATACCCATCCAGATGTCATTTAAATGTTGTAACTGTACCCACATTCACCACTTCCTCTGGCAGCTCATTCCACCCTCTGCATGAAAAAGTTACCACTTAGGTCCCTTTTAAATCTTATCCCACTCACCTTAAACCTATGCCCTCTAGTTTTGGACACCCCTACCCTGGGAAAAAAGACTTTGACTATTCACCCTATCCATGTCCCTCATGATTTATTATACCTCTAGGCTCCCGAGGTGATGAAAGGTGCTACATGAAGGCAAGTCCTTCCTTTCTTCTTTCAGGCTGTGATTGTAAATAAAGACAGGTTGTAGTCAGAAATGGCAAGTCCTGGAGAAACTCAGCAAGTTTGGCAGCATCTGTGGAGAGAGGAACAGAGGTAACTTCTCAAGTCCAGTGATCCTTCATCAGAACTCAGCAGGCACTGGGCATCTGCCCATTAGCTGTCAATGTTTGATTGGAAACACTGGTTCAAGCCTTTAATGATTTCTGCACGTAAATGGAACAATTGGAAACATGGGTGATTTATAGATGAAAAATACCACAGAAAAATACCACGGAAGATCAAGGGTTATGGAGAAGATGCAGAAAAGTGGACAAAAAGAACATTGGAGCAGGGTCAAAGGGCGGAATGGCCTAGTCCTGTTCCTGTTTCTTATGGTCACATGGGTGATTTGATGGTAGAAAAAGCCATTCGGGGTGTGTGTGTCTGTATGTGTGCTGCGCATATGTGTATGTGTTGCATGTGCATGTGTTGTGTGCGTGCATATCTGTGTGTGCGCATGTGCGTGCACATGTGTGTGTGTGCATATTTGTCTTTGTGTTTGTGTGTGTTTATGTTGTGTATGTTTATGTGTGTCTGCGCGTGTATTTGTGTGTGTGCATATGAGTGTGCACATTTGTGGTGTGTGTGTGTGTGTGAGTGTTTGTGCGTGTGAGTGTTTGTGCGTGTGTGTGTGAGAATGTGTGTGAGAGAGAGAACGTGTGTGAGTGTGTGCATGTGTGTAAGTGAAAAAGGACACGCTACTCAAAGATAACACAGTGTAGAGCTGGAGGAACACACCAGGCCAAGCAGCATCAGATGAACGGGAAAGTTGATGTTTCGGGTCAGGGCCCTTTTTCAGAAATGGCCAAACATCAACTTTCCTGCTCCTCTGATGCTGCCTGGCCTGCTGTGTTCATCCAGCACCACACTCTGTTGTCTCTGACTTCAGCATCTGAAGTTCTTGCTATCTCAAAGCCTACTCAAAGTTCCTTCCCTCTCTTCACTGCTTGCCTTCTCAGGTGACAAAGACAAGGTTTCGGTGTCACAGCATCCCAGAGAAATCAACGCGTCGGTTGGAATGGCAGCCATGATTGCCTGTGAGGCCAATTACCACAGAGGGACTCCTGAACACACAGACATGTACTGGTACAAAGGTGACAGGTGGGATCAGCCAATCCTGGCCTTTTCAAAGGACTCCACGTCCCTGTCCAGTCAAGATAACCACCTGTACGTGCGTGGCAATCTCTCCAAAGTTTATAGCATCCTGATCATTGACAATCTGACACTGAATGACTCCGGCGTTTACGTTTGCGAGGTATCAGTCTCTCTACCTCCACCTCATGTGACTGGATATGGAGAGGGAACCAGATTAACAGTGCACGGTGAGTAAAACAGAGAGTGTAGTACTTCTTTCTGTGTTTATACAGAGCACGCTTCATCCTTGATAAATCTTTAGCTCTATTTTTGTCGAGAACCCAAGTAAAAGGTGAAGAACTACAGCGTGATGTTGTAAAGAGTACAAGTGAAATTAGATTGATATAGCAGCCCAGCTGTTGAAAAGTTAGCCAAGGTTCTATCAGGCCATAACAACAGCGTATGTTTAGGCAGTGCTTACAACATAATAGAATGATCAATGCAGTGCTTCAAAGGGGTCATGAAGTAAAATATGACCCCAAGCCACATAAGGAACACATTAAATCAGATGACCAATAGCTTGGTCAAAGAAGAAGGATTCTGGGCACCATCTCAGAGGAAGAATGTGAGGTAGGGAAGAGGGTACTCCA